TCCTAAATTTCTCCCTAACCAATTGACCAGAGGAAGCTGCGCACACTATGCAAACACTTGGAAATAGTTGGCCCCTGTTCGCCCACAGATTTTCAAAAGACATTCAGTTCTGGTTGTCAACCTGTAGAAAACCTGTACACAGCCCAGTTATAAATTGTGCTTCAATCCATAATGGCAGCTGCAACTTTTAGGTCTTGTATGACACCTCAAGATTTTACATAGATGGGCACATATGTATCTTTTCCAAGGAGAATGATCTATGAAACATCTGTCATTGAACATTGCCTGGATATGTTGGGGTTCTCTTCCAAACCTGCCTAACAGATGTACTGAAACAATTGTTCATCTTCCTTTATTCCCCATTCACACTAGGAGTGGAGCATAGGACAGCCCAGTTACTTGAATGGGCTGCCCTATGCACGATAAGTGCGCCAAAGAAGCTCGTGAACCAAATTTTAGCACTGAGGCCCATTTTGTCACTCAATAAGCGTGCCAAAATTGCACTGCTTTTGAGGTGTGATTAAGAAATAAGGGCACTGCAAGTGCATTGCTTGTTTTGTTGTATTTTTTTTTAAAACACGGGCAGGAACGCGTGATTCTGCCCATGTTTTCAGAGCGATCAAGTGTGAATGCAGCCTTATGGGAGCAGGAATAACTTATGCCAGATCTTGAAGATTTTTCCCAGTTTGTCCAAAACCCTTTATATATTCCATTAATATTCACAATGATTGTGAGCACTTTTTATTGCTCATTTGTTAAAGCGTATTTAATATAAAACATAAAAATTTTATATATTGCAGCTTACCAGTCTTTAGATATAGTGGCTATATAGTTTGGATAGTTATCCATTTGCTAAGTGGTAGTAAAGTCTGTTTTTTTACTTAATAAGGCTTACCTTTAATAAGGCATATTTACATATTGTAAAGCGCTGAGCAAACTGTTGGCGCTATATAAATCCTGTATAATAATAATAAGGCTTACCTGTAGGTACTGTAAATATCTCCAAAACGTGCACTGTTTAGAAGATATTTACTTGTAAAGCAGCACCAGCTCATGAGCTGTGAAGGAACGGCATGCCTGTGCCGCTCCTTCAGAGCTGTGTGTCGTAAAAAGTTAGTCCCGTGAGCATGCGTGGCAGTGACGTCATTGCGGCTCGGCCATTCAAGCTGCTGGAGCCCATGAAGCCGGAAGGACTGGGTGAAGATGGAAGCCCTGTCAGCGGTGACATTGCACTGCTGGAGGGCTTGGTTTTAAGGTTTCACATAATGTTCTAGTATGCGATTCATACTAGCACATTATGACATTGCCTTGCAGGGGAAACGTTTCTTTTTTTTAAAATTACAAGGTTTCCTACCATTTTAAACTACTAAACCAATCACCCTCCATGTAATGAAGATGACAAATGTAGACAAGTTCAAAGTCCAGCCTGGGTGGTAACCATGGCTCCTTCCAAAGATAGGATGGTGAAGTGAGTGGAGCCTCTTTAGAATAGGAAGTGTTATTTGCATAATCACTAGGTGAAAATAAAAAGAAACTAACACCTAATCTAATGACTTGTAAGCTGCAATATATTGGAATTTTATGTTCTTGGGTTTAGATACACTTCATCTCCTACCAGTCTAGCTGGCACAATTGATGGTTAAACATATTACTGTCCAATAAGAATGTATAATAATCATTACACAGGAGTTCCTCTTTTGTAAATCAGGTGCAGAATGTTGAAAAACTGCACTTAGCTGACAAGATGCTACAGAGTGAATTGGGCGCCAATTTCTGATCTATCTCACAAACAACATGGTACTTCATAAACAAGGGACTGCTTCTTCTGTACAGTCCGGCAACTTTCCAGAAGTGAATTTTTTTCCTGGAAAAATACAGATTTGGAAAAGCAGCTGGTAGATAAGGCTGTCTTAGTGAATCTAGCATATCAGGTATATTTTCTGTATTATCTGCGGCGGGGAACATTTTATATCTGTGTGCTTATCCTGTGCACCGAGCATTGAATACAGGCCTGATTTCGTCACTCTGCATCTGCTCTCATTTTCTTCTCTCTTACTTCATTTGTCTTCTGCCTTTTGTCTAGATTCCTCCATTCACCTCTCTGGCTTGTCTCCTTCCCACATACCTCTGCTGTTGTGTGCCAGAATGGTTCCTTATCATACTTTCCATGTGGACATCTGTATTATTCTGCTATTGAGCAGACTTTGCTCTTCCAGTTCATATGCAGTTTGTGTTATTGTGTGTTTTCTCTATTAAATTGTTTACATCACTGCATTTGTTTTTAAAGGTTTATTTTACTGAAATTAATTCACACTTCTGCCCCTTTATGTTTTTTTATATTGTGCTGTAAGTTGTTTCATGCAGTTAGCTTAGTTTAGAGTGGAAATTCAAGTATATGCAAAAATAAAGTAATAATAGCTAAAAAATACAATAAAGAAAATATTATTTTTACAATGGCAAAGACCCCCTTGACACCTTAAGGCCTCATGCACACTGAGCATTAAAAACACTTCTTTTAAAGGCATTTGGCATTTTTTTTTCTGCTTCTAAACATTTTTATATGTTAGCCTATGTGTTCGTGCACACATAGGTCTTTAGAGGTGGAAAAGAACCCCACTGCCGGTATGTCCAGGAGCAGCAGCGTTTTGGCAGAAAATACACTTGACGCATGAGAACGTGTGTATAAATTATTATTCTGACCAATTAAATGAATTAACACCCAAGTGCTGGATGCATTTGCACACGTCACGTATTTTCTCTGCCAAAACGCTGCTGCCAGGAGGAAAGGCATTTAGGAGAGCTGGGCAAACGTCCTGCGTGCATGGGGTCTTATAAACGGCCGGACAGGAGCAGTGCAGGGGGGGTGGCCATTTATAAATGTCCTTCTCGCTCCCTGCTTGTGCGCTCTCCCTGGGAGCTCACAGCACCGCAATCCGGTGCCCGCTGTGTCTGGAGGATCATTGTATGTAAAGTAACAATAGCTAAAAAATACAATAAAGAAAATATTACTTTTACAATGGCAAAGAACCCCTTGACCCCTTAAGGCCTCATGCACACTGAGCATTAAAAACACTTCTTAAGCCAGAGAGAAGGAGAAATCATTGCTTTTACAGCCTTTAAGGGTGTAAAAGTAATCAGTGTAAAAAAAAAATCTTCACCCCCCCCCACAAGTAGTACAGTGTCACTATGGTGACACTGTATTGCTAGGGTGACAGTATGTAAAAAAAAAAACCAAATATAAATAATAATATAAAAAAAATAAAATAAAAATGTAAAAAACATTAGAAAAATTATTATTTTTGGTTATAAACCAATTTGGGTTATTTGTTTTTTACTAAAAAGATAATTGAATAAATGTTGGCCAAGATTTATGAAGAAAGATTATTTATTTGCAAAATTTTATAGGAAAAACGCAGATATAAGTCCTCCATATATAGAAAAATGGGAAAGAGAAAGGGATGAAACGATACATGTTTTGATAATAAGCTAAGGTTATAATGAGTATGTTTGTATAACTTGTTTGTCTGAAAAATTAATAAATATTTAAATAAAAAAAAAATAAGAAAAACACTTTTTTTTCAACATTTTTGGACATTTTCATTTACATAGCAAAAAAAATAAAAATCCCACCAAAATAAAGTTGTATCTGTTTCAAAAAAATGCTAAAGAATTCATATGGGTACAGTGTTGCATGACCGCGCAATTGTCATTCAAAGTGTGATCACATCGAAAGCTGAAAATTGGCCTGAACAGGAAGGGGGAGAAAGTGTCCAGACTTGAAGTGGTAAGGTAGTAAGTCATTGAAGTGATGTTAATATTGAGGCTGGATAGATTGGACGACACTAGATTAAAAAACAGGAGTGGCAGCAGTTTCAGGAGTGACTGGGCCCCTACTGCAGAGGACCCCTGTTTTCCTCTACAGTCAGTCCTTCTACGCTTCTAACATCAGAGTATTGTCTGTCATCTAATCCAGGGAAGGTTTGTGAAGGTAAGTAGAGCTGAGTCAGATTGGAAAGCAGTAAAATCTCACTATGAATCACCTATACTTGATCATGTTAAAGGTGATAAACATGTTAACAAGTAAGTGGGAAAGTCACATCACTTGAGTCCATGCAGTATCACTACCTGGCAGAACTCAGCTTCAAGTTTGTGACCAGCAGAGTGAACCAGAATGAAAGACAGAAGCTCTTGCCTAACGGCTGGGTTCCTAATGAGCAAAGCTTAATATTCACGTTGGATTAAAGAGAACCTTTAAAAATCCCCACTAAATTCTGTTTCTTTTTAAGCTTTTTTAAGATAATGTAACCCCTTTGCAATTTTAGAATCCTTTATGTTAATAAAGCTGACTTTTAACCCTTTGACTGCATAGAATGTGTCCTACATGTCTTGGCAATCAAAGGGTTACAACTACCTCAGAGCTTCAATAGACATAAGCTTGTGTTTACAACAGCAGCATCTGATCTTCAATTTTGAAGTAATCCGAGTGGCTATAAAGCCACCTGATCATGTCTACACTTCCTGTAATTTTAATAGACCCCTGGTGTCTCCATAAAGACAACCTGTGATGCCCTATGTACTATTATATCAGATACATATACATACAAACTGTGTTATCAAACTTGCTGCGTTATCTGACATTAGATTATACTACAATAAATACGGCATATCAGTGCTTCCTGGGCATTTTAGCTGAGCAGGGAATAAAAATCTTAGCTCTCATGATGCAATATGAGAGTACCATGTTTTATTCTGTGATCCAATTGATTAAAGATTTAGAGTTGCAGTGACATGATCCAAAAGTGTAAATAGTGTATATTTAAGGTGAACCTATAACCAGGTGCTCACTAAAGTACTAACATATTCTGAACAAGCACTTTGAAAAAAAAAATCTTTATTCATTTCTGCATCTATAACAGGGGTCCTCAAACTTTTTAAACGGGGCCAGTTCACTGTCCCTCAGCCCGTTGGAGGGCCGGACTAAAGTTTTAAAAAAAAAAACTATGAACAAATGCGGACACAGTACAGGAGATGACCAGAGATTGCGGACACAGTACATGAGATGACCAGAGACTGCGGACACAGTACATGAGATGACCAGAGACTGCAGACACAGTACAGGAGATGACCAGAGACTGCGGACACAGTACAGGGAATGACCAGAGACTGCGGACACAGTACAGGAGATGACCAGAGACTGCGGACACAGTACAGGGAATGACCAGAGACTGCGGACATAGTACAGGAGATGACCAGAGACTTCGGACATACAACGGTGGCGGGAATACTGGGCTGGCCGCTCCATAAGATGCACAGACATTTCCCCCCAAGTGTGTCTTTAGGGGGCGAAATATATGGTAAATGCAGGACTCCTTGTTGGGTCAGATCTGTGTACAATGTAAAGAGAGAGGGGGGGGGAGAAAGAGGAGGGGGGGAGAGAGAGAGGAGGGGGGGGAGAGGAGGGTGAGAGAGAGAGAGCAGGAGAGAGAGAGAGAGAGGGGGGGGGGAGAGGGGGGGGGGGGGAGAGAGAGGAAGGGGGGAGAGAGAGAGAGGAAGGGGGGGAGAGAGAGAGGAAGGGGGAGAGAGAGGAGGGGGGGAGAAGAGGGGGAAAGAGAGAGGGAGGAGATCGATAATCTGTTGCACTTATCTAGGGTCTGTGGCCATGATACCCAACATGCAGCGATGGAGTCTCCTCTCTTGCTCCCCCTCTTCGTGGTCAGCTCTAGGCTCTGCCCTCCGGCCGTGACAGTTGCATGCACTGATCAGAATAGATGGCCGCCTGGCTGCAGAGAGGCCAGGTGAGTCGTGTGCGGGTTCATAAGCCGAGCCCACCTTCCCCTGTTCTAGAATTGCTGATCCTGCCCTCCTGCCTCCCGCCCGAGCCCTGCCGAGCTCTCCTGACCTGCCAAATCCTAGTCCCTTGCTTCGCGACAGATACGCCCCTGCCCAGGGGGCCGGATAAATGTCCTCGGCGGGCCGCATGTGACCCGCGGGCCGTAGTTTGAGGACCCCTGATCTATAACATTGTGGAGAAATTTGTTTTCAAATTTCACAGCACAGACAATGAAATCTTAGCTTTTTTTTCTATATAGAGCAGCCTGCCAGCCCTTTGATGTAAACACCCTACAGCTATTTCTATACTGTTAGAAACTGACTTAGGGGCCTTTTCATGCAGGTGGTCTGTCCATTTCCCATTTTTTTGACCCATGATTACATGGATTTGACCCATGATTACATGGATCAAAACAGATAGCAGTATATCTCTTCGGGTGGCTGAATATAAGCAGACTTGCGTCATATCTGCCCACCTCTGGATCTGTTCAGGTCCATCAGACCAAACAGAATACGTTTGTGTTCTGATCTGCTTTTACTAACTGGTCCAAGTAACCAGTGAAGGTTATATGATCCACTGTACATACAAGCATACAACAGAGGAATTATCTTAATGAGTTGGATAGAGCCCCTCGGGTGCGACCCACTGTAGATAGAACCCCTCAGTTGTTGTCCACTGTGGGGCCCACCATCATGCTTCTGCCAGCATAAGTGAGATCTTGCTGTCATTCTCAGTACATGTACTGGGAATGCCAAAGATCTTGCTACCTGTTCATTCCTGAAGTGGGTATGAACAGTACAGGGTCAACACAGATGATGATTGGCTATAGGAAAACTGGTCAGTTAATGATTTGGCGAAAAGTGACTTTATATTCAAAACCTGAGAGTTGCTGGATCTCAGCACGAGAGCCACAGAACAGATTAAATAATACATCAATTAAATAATATTTTCATTGAGACATTTACCCTGTTGTTCGTTGGCTTCAGATTACTTTTCTTCACATTTGTCCTAATTAATTACACACCAGTTAAAATTATATTTTTTTTTTTGGTTAAATTATAATTTTTTTTTAAATAAAGTCATATGTATTACTAATAGAATTGCTACACATGACTAAATTACTGTGATAATAATTAGAAAAAAGAGGCAGCAAGGTTCTGGTCTCCAAGGAATTTCCTGTAAGCTGTGATACTTGCCCTGCAGTGGGAAGATGCAGGTTAGAGCTTGTCCCTATATTAAGCCGCACATACCATATTACAGCCCTGGGACTCCCCACCCTTCTCCGCATTGCCTCAAGCTTTGAAGGGTCCTATACTATTACTAAGAAGAGCATAATAGACTAAAGACGTTAGTGACTTAGTCTTATTATAAACAGCATAGTGACCTCACTGGCAGGGAAGAGGTTAACAGGTTCTTGTTTTTTCACTAGTGACATGTTTTTTTTTAATCCATAAGTAAACTTTGATCTTTGATGGATCCTTTAAAGCAAAACTCTAGCCACACAGGGTGGATAAATTATTTTTTTTTTTTAAATCGGATTTATTTTATTTAAATCAGATTTTTTTATTTTTATCAAATTTATTTTAATAAAATGCTTTTGGATTAAAAATCTATCTAAAGATAGTTTTCTATTTAAGATACATTAATAATTTAGTTTATTTTTATTATTAATTTTATATTTAAAACGGAGCTTAGTTATATAGCATGAGACTGTATGTTCTGCAATATTTACATTTTATGGTAAACTCATTCAGTGAATCCAAGCTCTGCAATCTGAGAAAACACATGCAGTGCTTTGATTCATTCACACAATTTCACAGTAACCATGAGAAAAAACATGAAATAAAAGAATTTGAGTAGCTCTCCAGCTATGTGTGATTACCTATTAACCTAAAATCGGATCTGATATCGTTGTTTTACTAACCTGACAGCTTATTATTCCAGAAAGGAAACCTTCATTTGGTTTGCAAATATTAAAGATTCTAACTACCAGCAAGAATGAGTCGGATTCCTTACATTTAAAGAGCACCTGTCATTCAGATCCATCATGGCAGCGTCTGTTAGCGGGCATCCACTCCCCTGCTGCCGCCACGTCCCTCGCCTTGTTTTGTCACTGCCGCATCACCAGCCGTCCCATTAAAGTGAATGGTCAGTGAGTCAACATCGGGTCAGAGGAGGAGCTGCTGCAGGACAGAGATGACAGTTGACAGTTGCTCTTTAAAAATTATGATTGAAATCGAGCCTTTTCACTAGAGATTTAAATTGTGATTTAAATCAACTTGATTTAAAACAAATCCGCTCTGCCACAGACATTTATAAGAATTCAAGAGGAAAAAAACTAAGGTATTAAATGATCACCTATGGTCATTTTACTGTAGAATTCATTGATTTGTACCTGCTGGATCATACTAGCAGTGTCTGCAGTGTTGTACAGAGATTCTGTTGTCTACCCTCCCCTTCCTCTCACCTTACCCATTCATAAAATGCCTTATATTCTGTACACAGTTTAAAAGGCATTCTGTGATAGGACAAGGGGAGAGGAAGGGTGGATAAATGACAGGATCCCCTCAGTGTGTGAAAGCCACAGATCTTGTCCATTTACAGAGTGCCTTGTATTATTTTCACAGAATACAAGGCGTTTTGTAAATGAACAAAGGGAAAGAAAATGGAGGATAAATGACAGGATCCCATTGCTGTGTAAGAGATGCAAGTCTCATAATGCCGCATGTATATTTTTAGCTATATTTGATGCATTTATAATTGTTTATCAATAGATGTTTCCACCACTACTTTCCAGCAAATGTTTTTAAGTTTGCATAGTAACTGATTGGGAGTGTAGTCTCCCTGGCGGTATTCCTGAGTGTAGCTCGGGGTAAAGTTTCAGCACCGCAAGCGGTAACCCCGAGCTACACTCAAGCTTACCATGCGTTGCTGCTCCGGGATCTGTTCTTCTCTTACCTTGTCCTGCGCTCCCGTGATGTCCCTCCTGCAGTGTCCCCTGTAATGTCCTCCGGCGGATGCCGGCATCTGTCTTCTGGGTTCCGTCCCCTGCGACGTCGGGATGTACGGGGTGGAACGGCGGGAAATTTGAAAATGACAAAAAGTGACATTCACTAAAATTACATAGTATAACATTACTGTATCAAACCATTTCACATACATATTGTCCCTAGTGCTTTGTCCTGTCCCTTGCCTGCATTTTTACTGTTCTTTCTGCCTGGAAACTGAGAAATGTCCATGGCGTCCAAAAAGTGTCCCTTTAGGTCAAAATCGGTTTTATACCAGCTAGAGAACAGCGATAGTAAATTAGAACCACTTGCAGAATTGAGTGGTAATGATTCGTGGGGAAATTCGGCATCAGCCACTGAAAACGATTTTGCAACTTTGCTCAGTGATGTGCGAACCTGCGCTATATTTCAAATTTCAGTGTTTTTTGGTTTGATTATATTATTGAATTAAATGTATTATTATCATATTACTATTTTTTATGATTCTTTATTAAATTATAATTTATGATTTCATGTTTCAAATTTTAACATACCCGCGATACTAGACTCTTGTTCGGACAGATTTCAGTGAGTTATTCCTAAAAATCACAGGCCTACAATAAAAAAAAAAATACATATTTCCATGCAAAAAAATGTACCGCTTTGAGCACAGAAATATGGACATAATCAGAACGCTAGGGAGGTTAATTTAAGAGGTTTTTACCATTATTCTATATTCATATAGTAGCGTGGTGATGACCTATTCACTCTCTTGTTCTAGACACCATACATGCATGCATGGGTAAACACCAATGCCAGAAGCAGCAATGGTTACACAGGTACAGGGGCATACAGCCATCCATTTCTATGGGCTGCTGTACATTCCACCGGCAACGTCCCAGTGGGGAACATGCAGTGTTCTTTAAGTTTGGCATATGTTATGTCTGAAAACATCCATGTTGAAACAGCAGGTCTGTACTTTGTGCTACACATACCAATGTCTGACCACCAGTCACTTAAAGAATATACCAATTAAAGTAGAATATAGCCAAAATAGGATCACCGGACAACCTTGGACCCATAAACTCCGAAATAGTAGCAATAGTATTTAGCCTAGGCTGGAAAATCTGTGACTCTGAAATTCAGTGGCGGCCAGTCACATGGTCAACTAAGTAGCCATATAACTGCATGATCTCTGCTAATGGGGAACATCAGCAAATCTAAACTCCAAGCTTACCCCTCGGGAATCAGATAACAAAATACATTTTGCAGCATGATTTTCCACCATGAGATCTCAGAAGTTTTTTCTCCACTCAGATACTGATTTTTCTCCACTCTAAAGATACCATTTATGATAATAAAGACAAACTTGCAACCAAAATGTACTTCACCTTGAATATAGTGGTGAAATGTAACAGCTCCAGGCAGTTGTTTTGTTGCTGTCCCCTATGAGTCCAGAGCCGATTGATGGTGCGCTCCCTAGGGGCGGGTACTTGACACCCTGGGCTCATGGGAATGGGGTTGAATTTTACACTGTCCTAAAGACAATGAGAGCTGGACTGCAGAGAGAATTTTTTTTCCATGAGTGGAGTTGGGCGGCTTACAAGCGACTCTGTTGCCTCCTGAAATAAAAAAAAGTCCTGAAAAGAAGACTATTCAGAGAGCATTCTGACTTTACGACAGTTGCAGTGTTTTTTGTTTGTTGACCCATTTACCTTATTTCTTGGATTTTCTCTCTAATCAGTTATTTCCCTTGCATTAATTGCTACAGTACAGCGTATCTAATGCAAAACATTGGTTATTGTTTGATATCGAGTCAGTTCTGTGCTGTCCTGCCTTGTACTAACAAGGGAAACATTCCTGGAACTGAGGTTTAAAGGAGAACTCTAGGCAGATATAAAAACATGAATTAACGCAGCTCTATAATGTATGTTTTTAATGCAAGCTGTATAAGTACCTGAATATACCTGGTATCAGCATCTTGCAGTCCCTGTGTAGCAGGGCAGGTGTGTGAGAGGAAGATGCAGTACAAGAAGCCAATCAGACAAGAGACATGCTGATAGGAAAAAAGTAGACTGATAGAGAGATGAGCTGTTCTGTCCGTGCTGCTTCTTCACTATCCAATCACAGGCTGTGCCAGGTTCAGGACAGCCTGGGCTCAGAGGAAATGGGTTGAATGATGCTCACCATCAAGCTGAAGACATCTAGCAGCAGGAATAAAATTCTCTGGTGGAAATCTCTGGATTCAATGTAAATATTGCAGCAAAAGCTGTTTTTTTTAAATTTTATCTTTTACTGGGGTAATCATTTTATTCTTACATTTGGCTGGAGTTCTACTTTAAATCCTTCGTATGTTTTCTGGGCTTGGACTGTATGATAATGTTTTACTCTGAACTTTGTGGATTGTCTTGTTACTTAATACTGTGCCTGGAAAATTAGGCTCATTCTAAAAATAGATTTTGTGTATAGTGTCACCCCTGAGGGCAATGCTCTTGTCCATCTTGGTGCACTTGAAAAATTAAAATAGACATTTCACTTTAAGGCAACAAATAAATCTTTGCATGGAAAACCGCAGGTTTAAAACACCCATTATTTTTAGATATAGTTACGGGGAAGGGATAGGAGTCCTTAGAAAGCCCAACCACTGCACGTTATAGAGAGCACAACTAAACTGCTGCTTGTAGTAGTTTGAGAGCTTACCCCTGACTGCATATGGTAGCACTCCCCAGGAAACACATGCCTACAAAACACTGATACGAAAATAGCACTTTCAGTTTCTAAAATTGTGCTTGACCCCATGCACTTCTGAACCTCACTATTGATGAGTGAAGCTGTTTATCGCAAGAATGGATCGTTATTGGGACACAGGGGGGTTGATTTTCGAAAACTGGAGAGTGCTAAATCTGGTGCAGCTCTGCAAGGAAACCAATCAGCTTCTAACTTCAGCTTTTTCAATTAAGCTTTGACAATGAAACCTGGAAGCTGATTGGCTATCTTGCACATGTAAGCCGTGTACCGGGGTGGGCTCCCCAGGATACAGTGAAGTCACGAAAGGAAAGCAACCCCAACACCAGCTTTTGCCACAACAGAATTTTACTTAGATGTGGCAAATAAACACAACCACAAATGCTGGAAACATACAATAAATTTACATACACCCAGCCCAAAGGCTGAGACCCTTGTGCTGCACAGCACAGCGCCTTCTGATGGATGAAGGTAGAAAAGAAGTAATTTACCTACTGGCGGGCACAACTAAGCTGCCACACCTTACCTGTTATTACCCTAAAAGAGCAGGAATCAGTGTATGGGTGTACGGTATGGGCTAGCCTGCGGTGCAGCACAACAGCTTACAATCTTACACAAATCTACAGTATTCCTTCTCCCATAACTGGTCCTGTAGCACGTGCCTGAGTATTCCTTCTGAGCAAAACGCCAGTCTGGCTTGAGTTTGTAGGATTTTATCAGCTCTCCAATGTGAAATGTCACTTTAAGTTGTGGAGTCCTTCCAATGATCAGGAACAACACTTGTGGCCTGACACAAACAGAGACCCTAACTAACTAACTATAGGCCTGGACTCAGTCTCAAGGCGCCAACACTGAAATGAGGTGCGTGCACGATCTTACCGACCGGGTCTGCTTTGCATCCGCTGGTGACTCTGAACAGAACAAATGTCTCTCCAACAAGCATGCGGTCTCGCTGTATATGTTGTTTAGTTCCTCTGCTCTCATCAGCATTCCTCGCAGCAATCTCATCAGCATTCCTGGCAGCAATCTCTTCAGCTTCCTGGAAGCAATCTCATCAGCTTCACTTAGCTGCAGCTCTGGTTACGGAGGGATGCTTTCACACCTAGATGTCATCAGATTCTCAGCTCACAGGGCCCCTTATTCACCATGCTCCAAAAACATGGCTGCTCTCTCTCTGTGTGAAAAACTCCACCTCTTCATGAATATAGAAATATCTATGCAGTCTGAGGCTGTGTTAGAAAAACAGTGACATCTTGTGGCTAAACTGCAGAATGTCAGTCAAAACATTTAATTTACTCCACACAAGCAGTATTCAAACAATGAGAGCTGTTTCCCCATCTCACACACTGCTGCACCAGATTTTGCACTCTCTAGTTTTTGTAAATCAACCTCAGTGAGTTTAGGCACTGAAGCTGCTAATTGTATATTAGAGCCTTCAAGGCTTTGGGGCATCCAGGGTAGCTGGGAGCTTTGGGACATCCATGGTATATCTCTATAAAGGTACCGGTATTATATGGCTACCTGCACTCTTGGACTCTAGGCCAGTGTTTCTCAACCTTTTTTCAATCAAGACACCTTTTAAAATTCTGCATAATCTCCAGGCCGTTCCAAAATGTACATTCCAAAATGCAAGGAAATAAACTAATAGTTTTACATAATGCAGCAACATCTACACATTTATTTATTACAGGTACTTATATAGCACCGTCAATTTACGCAGTGCTTTACATATTCAGTGGATATAAAAAGTCTACACACCCCTGTTAAAATGTCAGGTTTCTCTGATGTAAAAAAAATTAGACAAAGATAAATAATTTCAGAACTTTTTCCACCTTTATTGTGACCTATAAACTGTACAACTCAATTGAAAAACAAACTGAAACCTTTCAGGGGGGGGAGTAAACACAAAAAACTAAAATAATGTGGTTGCATAAGTGTGCACACCCTCTTATGACTGGGGATGTAGCTGTGTTCAGAATTAAGCAATCACATTCAAAATCATGGTAAAAAGGAGTCAGTACACACCTGCCATCATTTAAAGTGCCTCTGATTAACCCCAAATAAAGTTCAGCTGTTCTAGTAGGTCTTTCCTGACATTTTCTTAGTCGCATCCTACAGCAAAAGCCATGATCCGCAGAGAGCTTCCAAAGCATCAGAGGGATCTCATTGTTTAAAGGTATCAGTCAAGAGAAGGGTACACAATAATTTCCAAGGCATTATATATACCATGGAACACAGTGAAGACAGTCATCATCAAGTGGATAAAATATGGTGCAATAGTGACATTACCAAGAACTGGACGTCCCTCCAAAATTGATGAAAAGACGAGAAGAAAACTGGTCTGGGAGGCTGCCAAGAGGCCTACAGCAACATTAAAGGAGCTGCAGGAATATCTGGCAAGTACTGGCTGTATGGTACATGTGACAACAA